AGCACAATGCGCACATATCACCATATAGCGAAGTTTCCAAAGGTGTTGGGGTGTTTTCATTGCACTCATGTCAGTATTCAATAACCTGGAGAAGAATGTCGACAGTTATCAAAACAGAAAAAAGTACTTGTAAAATGAAAGTAATGGACTTTATATGCAGGTGACCTGGTTCTGGGCATGATAGCATTATTTTTAATAATAGTTGTACGGTTTGAGCAAAATGAATCTAGGAACTTATTTTAATTGGGTGGTAGTGGTTATGGTTTGTCAGCAACTACATGATATGTCAACTTTTACATTCCAATCTTCGCGCCGAGCGTCTTTACAAGGAATATCAAATCCGTACTCGAAATTACTTAGCTGAGGAGCTATGGATTGAAAGCTTCACTCAGCACAACTATGAACATCATTATTGCCTGTAGAGTGTTGCACAATTTTGCTATCTAGAACGACTATAATTTAGATGAGGTAAAAGTTATAGCGAATGAAGCAGCAGAAATCTCTGTTGATGTCGAAGAAAATATATCTGAGGTGGAAGGAAACGATATACTTGTTTTACATACATTTTATATATGTAATTTAAGACCATCAAACTGCTTTTCCCCAAATAAAAATATATGAAATAAATTAAATTTCATTATTAAAAATTTTTTTCCATAACCACAAAATAAAATTTAAAAAAATAAAAGAAAAAGCGGAAGATCTTAAAAATTGGAAAAATATAATAAAATAAAGCTGTTATCTAACATGGTATAACAATTTTCGGATAGCAAAGAAGACTTAGCAATATTTTTAACGATATTTCGATTGCGAAGAAGTCTATGTTAACCTTCATGAATACCATTCTAACAACGAGCAAATTGGGGTTATTCAAAGCTTCTTAATAGAGCTAAGAGTCATGCTTGAAAGTGCAACCTGTAACATGTTTTTGATTTGATAAACTTTATAATAACAAATTTATTTGTTTTTGTTATTCCTCTTTGTGCTTTTCGCATATTTTCAAGTTCTGATAAGCTGTGGTGCCATTAATAATAAAATGGAAATGTGAGATGCCGATTATCGTAAATACTGAGTTAGAGAATCGAATAATCGTTAGCGATTATGCTGCAACTACCCAACTCTCGTACCAGCCGCCCATAGTAACTTATCTTATGAGAGCGCCGTGTTAACACAAAGTTGTCACCGCTTGCCCATACCGTTAGTGACGGTTGTTCCGCAGAAACCAACGAAGATTTGATTTTTTCCGTAAAACCAGCTCGGCTATTTTTCGTTGCTATACAATGTTGCCAGTATAGTCTTTCTTAAAGTAACATTAAGTAATCGAAGAAAATGCGTAGTTTTTCTTCAAAAGAAATGAAAACTGAATGCGTAACTAATAATTTGTTTCCATATAGATCATGTATATTTGTCTTGTGTTTATATCCAAGCATACAAATTATGAAATTCGTTGACGAAAATTATGAATTTGTTTAAAAGTGTAAACACACTCTGTCAGCTGGCATCGCCAGTTATTCCAAATTTTAAATCACTGGGTAACCGTAGTTCACTACCAAACAGTATCCTCGCAGGTGTTTGCCCTGTAGTTACATGCACGGCAGACCGATATCCCATCAGGAAAAGCGGTATATGCACATCCCAATCATCCTGATGATTGTCCACTACTTTCCGCAAGTACTCTTCAAGGGTCCGGTTGAATCGCTCTACCATACCATCTGATTGAGGATGTAGGGCTGTCGTTCGGGTTTTTCGAATACCAAGTATTTGGCACATCTCCTGAAACACAGCCGATTCAAAGTTTCTTCCCTGATCTTAGTGCAGTTCTATAGGCGCACCGTATCTGG